GTGTGTGTGTGTGTGTGTGTGTGTGTGTGTGTGTGTGTGTGTGTGTGTGTGCGTGCGAAGCAGAATCGGTGCGTGACACGATATGATGACATCTGTCTGATAGAGGATCATATAGAGCAAGATGGATGCTATTTTACTAATGGAGGCAGATGCTCTGAACAATGATCGATTTATGATAATAGTTGCTTATAGCGAAACAGCCGAATTATTCACGTGAGTCATCCGTGTTTATATCGCGTACAATCACTGCTGAACGGCCCGTGGTGGATGGAGCACAGCTAGTAGGGAGCGAGAAACGACTGTACGTATATCTGACTACATATTCAGTCTACTCACTATATGATCACTTCTCTTCCTTTCAGACCACTCTATACTTTATAACTAACTGCATGTATAGCTTCGCAGTCAGAGCCAGCGGAGGGAGTCTGTACCAGTTCATGACTAACTCCACAATCCGTCAGCAGCCCTTGATGAGACTGCGTTGACCTTTGTGGACATTTGTGACCTTTTTGGCTACACGGACGTTTGGAGTCAGTATACGCTACAGTTCATATAGGTTCATAGATGATGGTTTTATAACAATTACTATACCATATATACGTATCACGTGGTAAAAACGCAGGTTTTAAATGCGCGGTGTGCCTTTGTCATTTCTCCAGGTTAGTTAGGGAACCGATTGCCGTGTGAACATTATGAATGTGGAATTTTCTTCTAGTCAATTCAAATCAAGATGTGATTGCAGACGCGCCTACGCCACCTCCAGTTAGATATTTGTTATCTCCAAAAAGCGGTACATCGAAACACGGTGTATTGACGTTAATTTCGAAGGATAGCCACTTGCATGAGATGTGAATTGCTGGTGCGACCTTAGAAGGGGAACGTGCGCGAGGACGCGTCTATAGCTTGCTAACTGCATCTATTGCTGCATGTAAATATGTCTAACGGTTACCCTGTGTATTAACTGTGTACATAACCGTATCTGTGTAACAAACCGTACGTGTGTGGGCGCTCGCGCGCGTGTGTGTGTGTGTGTGTCGTGTGTGTGTGTGTGCGTGCGTGCGTGCGTGCGTGTGTGCGTGCTTGCGTACGTGCGTGCGTGCGTGCGTGTGCGTGTGCGTGTGTGTCGTGTGTGTGTGTGCGTGTGTCGGGTGCGTGCGTGGCGTGGCGTGGCGGCTTGCGTACGTGCGTGCGTGCGTGTTGCGTGTGCGTGTGCGTGTGGTCGTGTGGTGTGGTGTGGTGTGTGTGTGCGTGCGTGCGTGCGTGCGCGCGCGCGCGTGTGCGTATGTGTGTGTATTTGTATCTGTATCTGTGGTTCTGTGTCTGTGTATAACTGTATAACTGTATAAGGGTATAACAGTGTAATTGTATAACCGTATAACTGTCTAACTGTATAACTGTATAACGGTATAACTGTATAACTGTATAACTGTGTAACTGTGTAACTGTGTAACTGTATAACTGTGTAACTGTGTAACTGTATAACTGTATAACGGTGTAACTGTATAACTGTATAACGGTGTAACTGTGCAACCATACAACTGTGTATGCTTGTTCGCTCGCCGTGCCAACGCGAAGTGGTCATCTCTTAACCTGTAAGCTTAACGGATTCGAGGGATGCCAACACGCCTTCGGTCATACACGAAGATGGGAAACGTAAGCCATTGGCAGGAACTCAGTCAGTAAAGATAAGTAGAGTAGCGAGAGAGAGAAAGAATAGAGAGAAAGAGGAGGAGTAGAAGAGAGAGAGAGCGAGAGGAGAGACAGAGAGGAGAAGAGAAGAGAGAGAGAAAGCAGAGAAGAGAAAAGAGAGAGAACGGAGAGAGAAAGAGAGAGAAAGCGACGAGAGAGAGAAAGAAGAGACGAGAGAGAAGAGAGAATGAGAGACGAGAGAGAAAGAGAGAGTAGAGAGAGAGAGAGAGAGAGACATGACAGAGAGAAAGGAGAGAGAGAGAGAGACAAGACAGAGAGAGAATGAGAGAGAGAGATGAGAGGAGAGAGAGAGAGAAGAGAGAGTAGACGAAACGAGACGAGAGAAGAAGGAGAGAGAGAGAGAGAGAGAGGCTGGACCTTTTTGCTGCGCTTTGTGGAACAAATGCTGTGTGTGAGCGCGTGAGATTGTCTCGAAGTTACGGCATTCTAACCTCATTATTACGGCATTGACTTGATTAACGGGCATTCACATCGACATTATTCAGTGACGATAGGAGTAACGTAAACCAATTTTAAACTTTTGTACTAAAATACCAATCTCTGTTCTGTTTAACATGCATTGGTATTATTGAAACAGCCCAAGTGCGCCGTGGCAGACGTAACACAAAGGGTTCTCCTACAGCGCGCCCAACTGTGGTAGAACAAAAAGCGTGTTACGCCGTAGCGTATGGCGCATTTATTCATAGTACTCGGAAATACCGCGCCACAGTTAAGTCGGCCACAGAGATACACGGTTCCGGCCCTATAACTATAATATGATGGAAATTATACTGAAATATTTATAGACGGATTCTCAATCGTTCTTGGGATCCAAAAGATCGCACACATCATCTATACCGCCTGGTTGGGCTAGCGAGGCACGGGGGGGGGGTGGGGGCTGG